AAAACCTAAACATTGAAATATGCGAAAGACTAATTTTACCCACAAAACAAACTCCGTGGTTTTAGTCCGCAAGCGAACTATACTGACCGAGCGACCGCCGCTTGTCCGCGAAGTTAGTACCAACTTTAGCGGATAGAGGGTGTGGCGTTGTCAGCGCAACGGATCCACACGGCCGTTAATCTCGGGGTTCTAGACCGTAGCCGCTACTTTTCCATTCAAATAGCGTCTCAATTATCCTCACGAAGCTAAGTGAACCCCGTTCCAGGCCCACTATTTCTCAGAAAATCTGGTAACGCCGGAAATCGAACCCGAGACCTCTGGATCTGTAGCCAGGAACTCTGGCCACTAGACCACAGAGACGGTCAATTTTACCCACACTGATGCTAAATGTAGTCTGTCACGCTAAACGGTTGAGGTTGCTTGCAAACTTATTGCTAAGAACTTCGCTTGTAATTAAGAAGAGGAAGTAATAAAGGAAAGGAGATTACAGAATGGGAGCTTCATAGTATGAACGCTTCATCTCTCATTCTTCTTCATCTTCTTCTATTCCCGTTGTTCCATCTTGGAGCATAGGGCATCCGTGAAACGTTTTGTTTCACTTCAGTTTACTAATCTAAGATAGTCGGAATGACTCCTTGGACGGGGAATCAGCCCTTCGCTAGGACGCTACTTAACACAAATACAGAATAAACGCAAAGAGACCCATGCCTTGAGTGAGATCCTAACTCACGACCCCAGTGTTCTAGCGGGCGAAGACATTTCATGCCTTAGACCGCGCGTCCACTCTGATCGGCTCACCTGCAATTAGGCAAGGAAAATAAAGCAGAGAAGACAACATTCTTGTTGAGAGGTGAGGAAGGCATTAACATTTTAGTGGAAACCCTCAAACAGATAGATCTAAACGTAGATACTGGTGTACGAAACTAGATATCAAAGAAATAAGATGGTGCACTGGATTGAACTTGTTGAGGGTAGGGCCCTGTGGCGAACTCGTTTTAACGTCCATCTGAGCCATAGGAATCATAAAAATTGCGAAATTGTTTGACCAGCTGAACTCAAGCTAACATTCAAGAATTATCGCCCAATATAGTGTCAGATATTTGGAGTTCTCAGAAAACGATCACGGTCCAAAAGTACGCACTTTGTCAAAACTATGTCCCTCGTTATGATCTGTAATATGTCAGTTTACCTAGCTCCCTTCTCTGATAGTAAACTTGGGCAATAGACACCAAAGGAAATTTCAGAATAACAGCTGCTCAAATGAAGTATAGGAGACAGGAACAAATACTCCGACACATCTGTCGTCCAGCCCCTAGCTAGTCGCTATACCGACCCTGCTAAAGACCGAAGCAGTCTTAACGAAACTTTCAGTCCGTAGGAAGATGTAAGTGTTACAGAATGCAGGGAAATAGACTTCCAGATTAATAATGACCTACAAACAGGATGGTACAGGAGGTCGAGGACGACAGTTGACGAGAGGCTGAAACTTTTCGGCTCCTGACACGTTGATCATAATGATCACGCTTTCTTTTCTAAAACCAAAGATAATATATTACATATGGCTGTGCCGTGGTTCAGGCCGTTAGTGACCGGTTTCTCACCTCTGCGGCCCGGGTTCGAGTCCGGGTCAGGTCATTTTGGGATTTGTGGTGGACAAAGTGGCACTGAGGCAGGTTTTCTCCGAGTACTTCTGTTTCCCTTGCCAATTTTCACTCCACCGACTGCTCCACACTCATCATCATCATCATCATCATCTACCATCCGGGGCTGGTACAATAGGCCAATTAGTGGCTGACGTACCAAATGGACTCAGTCTCATCCCACCTCATGAAACTGAAGAAAACTAAAAACTGCACTTGTTGCATTACATTGGTTCAGAGTTAGTAAAAATGGCCATGAGCTGAGTCATGGAAACTTGTAATATGAAGTGCAGTACAATTGAAATTATTTTAAATATTTCACGTACAAATACACACAGAGAATTCACATAAGGTATTCCAGTACTTCAAATAATTCCACACATTTACAGCAATACTTTTCGCTTATGTCATTTATACAGACGTTTGAAACATAACTATGAGTCATTTTCAGATAATAGAAATTCATCAGCAGAGTAGAGTGAGCGACAAATATTAAAATCTTATCAATTTCTTACGAACTATGCGAAGGACTTGTATCAACCAAAATGAACCGGTACTAAATTCACTCCACTGGTTGACGAGTAGCGATCCCATAGAGTCATAGACGCTGTGCTAGGGACTTCTAGGCATGTGCATGCTAAGGCAAGGACAAACGAACCGACATAACCTCCACCACAGACGTTCGTATTGTGTTTAGATTGACTAATAGATATCCATCCGCGGTTGATTGTGACAAAAATTGTCTTCTCAAACTTGGGTTCTTCTTCCTTAGGTATTAGGCCATCTGAGTCGTATCTCATCGGAAATAATCTGGCGCTATGGACCTTACAGACAGTTTGCAGGACTACAAGGACGGGGATCAGCCCTATTGCAAAGCCGCTTTCTACACAGGACAACACGAACACAGGAGAAACGCGGGCAGACGTCCGCGATCCGAATGAGTTTCGAACCGCCTATCCCAGTGTTTGAGCCAGCTTTAAACAACTGTACTTGTCTTAATTTCAGCCCCAAACACAATAAAACTAATTCTTCAACGTAATAAAAAAATTAACAATATGCAAATATTCTTGGAATTTGTAGGCACCCGGTTGGAGAAATTTGGGGTCCCCAACATCAGGAACTCTCCTTTCCGAGTTTCTTTCTTTCTTTCTTTCTTTCTCTGTCTTCACGTCATTTGGGAAACAGAAGAAAACTTTTATCAGTTGGAAGGGAGGAGCTCATCGCTGGGGGAGTTTTCCGATGCACAGCCTTCTGTGGCTTCATCTCAATGAAGACATGCAAAACAGTGACATGATAAAATATTTGAAACGTGAAGCTCAGCTGAGTATTTTTTAAGGGTTCATTTCGTAAATCACGGAAAGCCCACAGAGTCACCATTTTACAGACATGTCGGTTAATATTAAGTAAGGGAATAATCACTATTTATTCTGAGGATGGTACGAAACACACTAATTCTGAGGACAAATTGAGGACTTTTTTAAACGTTAAATGAGGTGATCCACATGGTTTCAAATTTTCTTTAAAGTGTTAAATGAAATCTTCAATCTGTTTTCCTTCTTTGTTTTTTCTTCTTTTGTTCCTTATGTTTAATAATTTTTCGAAATAAATTGACAAATTCATCTATTGGAGGTATTTAGTGGTAAAATCAGAGGAGAATTAACAGAAAAGCAGAGGTCACAACTTATTAAAGGAATCGGACCAGTTCTTTGTGTTTAGCTTGGAACTAGTTTTAGATTTTTGGTTGTATCATCTTCTAAACAAAACGGTACATAACGGTACTTATTCACTTGCCTGGGGGCAACAACTTTGTCATGCTTGTCTTTGAGATAGTATTCAGTGGGGCCTATTTACAGAATATACTGTCATGTGATCGACTATAGAATAGGTTTGTATTGGTAATTAATTTTATTGAAGTTTTACAGAACGTAACTACACGTAACTACAGGGCTGTCGTTAATTCACACACTGCAGTTCATTACAGCACGTACGGAATATTCCCAGTGTCCTATATCTTTACTGGGTGTCACCTGGTAACGGTTGCCAACGCCGTAGCTTCCTTAGCTTCTGTATTCACGTCCTTACTGGTCGGCGATTGTCTTATAACTAACTAAATTCTAGATTTGTCCTTCTTACAACACTTCGAAACGAACAGCACAGAAAACATTTCTCCTAACAGTTCTTCTATTGTTACAGTACGTAACTAATGCATATGGACTGCCTAGAGAATACTGGATGTGTTTGCAGAGCCGTTGCCTAGCAACGGCCGTTTGCTGGCTTCACAGTTCTTGCTTGAGCAAATGTGCCATGATCCTTTAAAGTTCATATATAGCTTAACGTAAAGTAGATAGTTCTGTTACGTATAGGTTAATCCTTGATTTACACATTAATATACACAAGACAATCTCCCTAAGGATATTTAATTAAAAATCCTTCCAAATAAAAGGGAAGATTAAGGAAGTGAGAACATTTCGTTCGATATCTCGCTGATCAGTCTATGAAAGTGAATTAAACTCACCGAAGGAAATGTATACGCATTATTATAACCGAAATTTGAGTTCAGATTCTCATTCTTGTGACGCTACAATATTCCATGTGAACAGCTTTAAAAGTTCATATTTTCTACGAATTATATTTCATCGTCTCTTTTCGTATCGATCGGATATCCGGTCGTCGTAACACAAAATTGTAGAAGGCTGAAATTCCTATAATTTATCTGATTCCTCTTAGAGTTGGAAGAAAAAAGAAATCCGAAATGCACGCTTTGTGCAAAAGTGGTGTTAAAGGATATAGCGCTTACTATCTACCAAGTTTCCTCAGCTTCCTGGCTCTGCTTTTCTGAGGCACTGGAGCAGAATGTGAGGATTCTCTTCTTTGCGTGTATCATGATGCTCTTGAATAGAATAGCTTTTCGGAGTATACTGACATTTAACCTCCGGGGACCCATAAGCTTTCTCAGGTACTTTTCGTAACATAAATATTTACTTCTTTCCTTTCCATATAACCACTAAATTTATATCCTTAAGATTGTTTCATTGTGTTATTGTGTTCTGTTCTGAATGAAATTCTGGGAATACTTGAAGGACAACCCACGATTAAATAATTTAATCTCCTACAATGGGTCGGTACAAAGAAACATTAATCTCAGAATTTGTTTTGAAATACGTCTTATAGTTTATACAGTGTCTGACATCGTCAAGGAAATATCATTTATCAAATAAAGCGACTGTACAAAGGTCAGATGTGAAGAAAGTAATTTTGATTATGAATGAACAGACCTTCATCCACAACATTCCGCCTTGAAGTCTGAACCATGAATATATATTATAGACTCCGTTTTGTAAAATGAAAATTCTGTTTCAGGTAACGTTAACTCCATAGCATATCTGGAATCTGGTGGCAATTTAAAATCGCAGACCCGTAAAGAAGATGGTAAGTAATTCAAAATCTTCCCCAAGCTTTTAGAGGAAATAACAGTAACTCCTTCATGTTTTGAATTCGTTCAGGTGATCTGAAAATTTTGAAACCCCTTAATGAATATGATGCATGTCTTTACAACTGTTTAACGGTATTTTGCAAGAAATGACTGTTTGTTTAGTAATAAAACAAATTATAGTCAAGAACAATGACAATCCTATTATTTTTCCTTTACTGCTAGCGCTCTGATTTGAATCTGGTAATAATTACCGCTAGCGTATTGATACTTGTATATTGGCCATATATCTGAAGAATAGTCAGATTCTACCATAAATAAAATATATTCTTCGACTGTAGCTTTATTATTGTAAAATTATGTAGGACTAAATTGGTGATGAAGTTTACGACATAATTTGCAAATGAATTTCGGTTGTGTACAGAATAATCCTTGTGTGATTGACGTAACATTGGGCACTCAGATGTTGTTTACGTCAAGTACAATATTTACATGTGTAACACGCGGTAGCGTAGTTGATTGAGGCACTAAGCTTCACGGCGGAAGGTCGCGGGTTCCACTACCCATGTGATTATTGAATTTTTCAGTTGACCTAATACTTCCAGCAGTAATATGGCCCTGGGGTTGACAACCTCTGACAGAAATGAGTACCAGGAATACTCCTGAGGGGTAAAGGGTGGCCGGCGCGGATGGCTGGCAAACTTACCGCCATCTTTGAGCCGATTGTTTAGAAAATGTGGGAGCCTCGACTTCTCACATCCCAATGGGCCTTCACTGCCTGTTAGGGATAGGTTCACATTTCTTTTTAGGTATGTATATACATGTATGTATGGTTTTAAGCGGCCTCCGTAGTCTAGGGTTAACGTTCCCACCCCATCACTCAAGCTACGCGGGTTCAAACCCGGCAGAGGTCGTGGAATTTTTAAGGGCGGAAAAATTCAGGGAACAAGTCCTCCGGGAGGGACTTTAAGCCGTGTGTCCCGTGTCGTAGATTTACGGCACGTAAGAGAACCTCATATCTCTAGGAGATCTCTGAGCTAAATTACAGGCCCTTTCCCACCCAAGTAGTCTCCAATGCCTCTGGTGGATGGGGGAAGAATCAAGGTACCGGGGGCCGACCTCGTTGGCTCTACGGGGGCTGATGGCACCCACCGTTACCCACCCCCTCTCATAATACATACATACATACATACATGTATGGCTTAGTATTTAATGTGTTTTGTTACATTATTATTTTTTGCTACATTTTTCAAGTAATATGCAGTAAAACATGGATGTGAGGCAGGTATTTTGGATTAGGTTTCGTCAAAAGTTGCACTTCCAGTTTTCAGGTGTAATGGTTTCGGGAAGGGCGAAAAGATCGTAACGATGGTTCATTAATAAAATGACAAATATTCTAAGCATTGTCCATCGTACTAATTTTTGTTTATATAGGACGAAGGAAGTTGTCGAGAAAATTGATCAGAAACGAGATTGTGGCGGTAATGCACACTACATGCCAGTTAAAAGATAGTTGCAGTTAACGTTGATCCACATGTTTGAACTTTAATATAATATTAGTTCTAATTCTTTAAAAATATACGTATTATGATTTAGGCATTTTAAAGTTTATCTTAACACTCCTAACCTCCTTCACAACGGTAACTTGTGACCGAAACGTGTCGGAGCTTCAATAATCCGCATAAGGCAAACCAGATATACTGAGATGCTCATATCATGTCATTCTAATATAAACGATATAGGTAAAATAACCACATCAAACTGCCCTTGTTCTATACTTTTCGATATCTTAACGTCTTCCCTATGTTTTCTTTTCTATAAAAACAACTGTTGAGGCGTTTCTGTGACAAATGATCGTTTCAATTTTAGAGAAACCACAAATTGTTAGATTAAGCAGTTGAGAGCCAGTGGGAGAAGACACTTTCTTTGATCTCTTTCAAACAACAAATAAATCGAGACCAGAAGGATCAGAGATTTTTCTTGGGCAAAAAGAGATTTATTAAAAGAAATTGGCAGGAGTCCATAACGTTCTGTTTTGGGGATGTTACCTTATTTGTCTTGACACGTGGGCGATACTAACGCGCAGTCGTGCCTGACTTGACAGGTCGTAATCACAGAGTAGCAATAGCCCTATAAAGAATAGGAGGCAATTTATGGCCACCTGCACGTGCTTTCTTATTATGTGTGCATGTCATGTCTTTCCCACGCAATAGATCTTTTTACGTACTTGAACAACTGCAGTACGATATTCCGAACGCTGTCGTTTGAAAGATAGGACCTAATGTCTTATTCACTGTTTTAACGGAACAAGGAGGGACGTAGATAAAGCTATGAAAGGGTCAGAAGAGAGAGGAAACGTTTTGAAGGAGGAAGATATAAAACAGATGATTTAGCGTTGGCTGTCTAAATGAAATTTACTAATTGCCTTGATTGGAAATTGAGAAAATCATAATGCAAAAAAGTGTGACTTGCTTAGAACCGAGGGCCACAGTCGTTTTCCACAAGTAAAACGCAGTACGATAATGAAAGTTTTATTATTGTTATTAATATTAATAATAATAATGAGGAGCTTCATAACTTATACTCTTCTCCAAGTATAATTAGAATGATCAAGTCAAGAAGGATGATGTGGGCAGAACATGTAGCACGAATGGGGGAGATGAGGAATGCGTTTAGGATATTGGTGGGAAAGCCAGAAGGAAGGAGACCACTGGAAAGACCAAGGCGTAGGTGAGTGAACAATATTAAAATAGATCTTAGAGAGACAGGATTGGATGGAATTGATTGGATTGATCTGGCTCAGGATAGGGACCAGTGGAAGGCTCTTGTGAACACGGCAATGAACCTTCGGGTTCCATAAAATGCTGGGAAATTCTTTAGTATCTGCAGAATTGGTGACTCCTCCAGAAGGGCTCAGCTCCATAAGTAAGTAAGTAATTAATTATTATTATTAGTGGGGTGAGACTGAGTCCACTTGGTACTGCGGCCACTATTGGCCTATTGTACCAGCCCCGGATAATAATGATGATGATTTTGGAGCAATTGGTTGAAACAAGATTGGCAGAAGAAACCAAAGTATTCGGGGAAAATCTGCCCCAGCGCCACTTAAACCACCACAAAATTCACATGACCAGACCCGGGGTCGATCGCGGGCCGCGACTAACCGCCTGAGCTATGGTTGGCTTTTACTTGAAGATAACTCAATATTTTCCTGTCATCAGTTTCCAGTCTTCTCCAAGTATAATTAGAATGTTCAGGTCCAGAAGGATGAGATTGGCAGGGCTAGTAGCACGAATAGGGGAGAAGAGGAATGCATATAGGATATTGGTGTGAAAGCCAGAAGGAAAGAGACCACAGGGACGACCAAGGCGTAGGTGGGTGGACAAAATTAAAATGGATCTTAGAAATATAGGATGATATTGTATGGTTTGGATTGATCTGGCTTAGGAGAGGGACCAGTAATTACACGGTAATGAACATTCGGGTTCCATAAAATATTGGGAAATTCTTGACTAGCTGCGGATTTGGCATTTCCTCAAGAAGAGCTCGGTTCCATAAGTAAGTAAGTAAATCAGTTTCCAGTGCTTCACCCCATGTTCTGCTCACTGGATCTGAAAGCTTTACCGTGACAACTCTTGCTACGAAACGCTGCACTGGACGTGAACACAATTTATATTTTTTTTTTATTTATCGCGTGTAGGTATGACAGTAAAAGATTTACGTAGATGTTGTTGCCAGTATGGACAATACGCTTAAATATACTTGTATTCTGCCTGTTTCTTTCCGTCCGATCATTGAGGTCACGAAGCTTTTTAATGGAGTGGCCTTTTATAACGGTAATGCGTTAGGAGCTATATTCGTAAGCAACCAATGTTGAAGCTCATACTGGTTACATTCTGAGGAATCTTGTTCTTGTTTTTCTTCAGTGCCTCTAGGCGAATGTCTAGATATTGGGCTACTGCCAGCTTATTCCAAATGTATTACTATATACACTCATCTTCCTTATGCCATCATTCGATTCTACATAATCCATGCAGGTGAAACAGTGTCGTTAAGTAACCTAAGAATGGTTGCTATTTTACGGTTATATCAGCTGCGTAGACTATAAACTGTAGAATGAAAAATGACGGAGGTAATTGAAAGTAAAGCAATCCCTGTAACAGGCCGTGGAGACCTATAGGTTTGTGAGATGTCAAGGCTCGTAAGGATGTCAGCCTTACGCGCTGGCCGCTCGTAACCCCCCACCCCACCCCAGAAAGATTCCTGGTACTCATTTCTGTTAGGGCTGACTCGACCCCAGGGTCATATTGGGGCCGGAAGCATTAAATTAATTGAAAAATCCAACGACTTAATCGGGACTTGAACCCGCGACCTTCGTGCTTGTAGCATAGTACCTCAACCAACTACGCTACTGCGAGGTAGCAATGTAAGACTATCACGATCTCCCACTGGAGCAGAGGAAGGAAATATCACGTGTTGCAGGACAACCATCAGGCAGTATCAAGAGATTGTGACATGGGATCTCCCCGAATACAAAATAAGAGTGATAAATGACAAATCGTTTAATTAAAATTTCTGGGGTATTTAATGTATAAAATATGGTCCATTTCAAAACTGCTTTGCTACGATGTATGGTAAATATTGATCTGAAGTCACAAATATGCACATTTCATTATGAAAGGTCATGAGGCCGTGCTGTATTTCATGATCCTCCCTCAGCGGCAATCCCCATTTGAACTCTGCATGTCAGAAAAGTTATTAAACCGAATTTATACTACAATATTAAAAGTAAATCAATCGAAAATGATATAATAATGACCACGTACAGTGTGGCCCAAAATTTTGTTAACTAGTTAGTAAAGTGTATACTAAAACGTGAGAAATTTATTTATTACTTAATGGAATTTGCAACGAAATGAGATCCTCCGTGTTCAGTGCACAACTCACGACTCTGTAATACCGTTCTAAGATTGACTGACGGGTTTAAATATGAAAATAT